GTTTCAATTATGTATTTACGTGACGACATACTTCTTTCCGGTTAGTTTTTCTACCCATTAGATCTATTAAAAATATTTGCTTCAAACTGAACTTAAAATCCAGGTTCAAAATGTCTTTGTTCTATAGGCAAGGAAATTATATTTATATACAAACTGATAATTTGTAACGCATTTCCCCGCGCAGAAGAGTAGGTAAGACATTTTAGTGATTGCTCTTTGTATATTGAGATTCATAAAAATTTACTTAAATTTATTATTTACAATATTTATTTTTTTCAAATAGGTGGAAACAACCTAAAAAAGCTAAATAGATTACAACCAAGGGCTTTTGTTACCCTAGTACGCAAAATGTGTATAATTTTTTTTTATAAAGTTAGTTAAACATTTAGTATAAAGTTTTAGTTACACTATAGTTTAAAACCTCATGAATGGCAAACTTTGAAATCAACCGAAAGCTTATTATAGAAGCAGGGGAAATCCCCTTAAATAAATTTGTGGAGACAACTGTCAAGAACGGGCAGTTTATTTTTGTTCCTAGTATTAACGTTACGTCTATTATTATTTTTCATAGAAATAATCACCATTCTTCCTAACATAAATACGTTTTCATAAATGTATTGTGACGCGCGCTAGTGTAAGAATGTCAGCTTAAACTTATTTCTCTGGAGCCTAGTTTGTAAATTGTCCTTACACAACGTTTTCGTAGGATAAATTTGAATTAATTTGTTAAGCATGGTTTATTTTTGTTCCTGGGATTAATACTGTAAGATACTGAAATGAATATCCATTGCGCGTGATTGGCAGCCCCCCACACAGACGGCGCCCCTGGTGTCGGGTGCCCCCCTGCTGGCCGGGCCCCCCTCGGCGGGCAGCTGGGTGGTGACGCCGGCCGAGAAGGCGCAGTACGACGCGCAGTTCGCCGCGGCCGACACCGACAAGGACGGATTCGTGTCCGGCATTGAGATCAAAAACACGTTCCTCGACAGCGGGTTGCCGCAGGCCACCCTTGCTCATATATGGTGAGTTTTGTTAACTAGGCTGGCAATCACACCATTTGGAAATGATCTTTGAAGGCACTCCAGACCAAATTGTACAGCGCCCTCTAGTGATCCCAAAAAGAAGTAACATTTTGCGTATAATTTTTTTACGTCGTTTTTCACTAGTGACGAATGTGAGTATAAATTCATGGTAAAGATACTGAACCAATATAAAAATGTTAGATTTCATAATTCCATTCTCATCGATAGATAAATTAACAAGAAATGTTTTTGTGTATTTTGGTTATTAGAAGCGCGGTTCTTCTATGGTGTACGGACCTTGAGAGGGGGATCGTTTTTGACTTAGCATGGATGGCTTGAGAAAATGCAATTGACCAATCGTAAGCGCTGTCCTCCTGAGTCGCGGAAATCACGTGAATAGGATTTCCCGTGTATCCGATTTCTATGTACTTTGGGTGGGCAGTACTTATAATTTTTTGTTATAATTATTGCTTGAGAAATTATGAGAATATTGTACGTTTTCGAGGGCCTAAATCGTACTTAGCTTTGGATTTAATGATTGCAAGTTTGGAACCTTGCCTTGCTTGAAAGTTGACTGTCTGTCGGTTATTGCAGAACATATTTCGGTGAGTGTGCCTTGAACCATCGAACATCCTTACTTGGTCAGTATTCCCTTTAGGCGTACGCCTAAGCGATTTTCATCATCTTTTATTACGCGCACAGCTCAGGAATGGAATTCTCTGCCTGCGTCAGTAATTCCGAATTCACACAACCCGGATATCTTTAAGGTGTGACTGAATAGGCATCTTCGGGGCAAGCTCGTTCCATCGTAGATCCTATCTTTGCCCCAGAGCTAGGTAGTGGTCAAGAGAAAGTCCATTTAATTTAAAAAAATCTCACAACAATAGATGTGCAACAAATACATAGAGAAATTTATAAGTTCTGGTAACACGTTCTGTAACTCAATTGAATAGAATAGAATAGAATAGAATAGAACAACAAAGTAGTGGAGTATTTATATATTTAGTAGCTGTAGAGCACCTTATGAAAGACTTCGTACAGGGAAGTGCTGCTATCTTAACTATTTCTGCCGCTAAGCAGTAATGTGAGCATTACTGCGTTCCTGGTGCTGGTGAGTTACTGCGTTCCTGGTGCTGGTGAAATGGTAGTTACAAATGACGGGCGCAGTGGTAGCGCCCCTCACGTCTTTGCGATTTGAAGCTCTCTGAGTGGCACTGCAACTGTTAGGGATAGACGTGTGTGTCGCTTACCACCAGGCGCACGACTTGTTCGTCCCGTCACTCGGTCTCATAGTTAAAAGTCAAGATGTTATTATTATTAATACAAAGATCGAACACTCACAAAAAATTCCTTCGATCCGGCCGGTTTCGTACCGACGTCTTCTAGATACCGTGTCAGACGCCATACCAACTAAGCCACGGAACGAACCAGCGGACCTCACGAATTTCTCTATGTGCTTGCGTCGTATGTTTGTATTTGGTTTTTATATATGCTAGAAGACGTCGGTTCGAATCCGGCCGGATCGAAGGAATTTGAAATTTTTTTAACAAAGCGTTGGTCGACCGGTTCGCAGGGCGCTGTGCGACACGGACAGCGTGGGCAAGCTGTCGAGCGAGCAGTTCGCGCTGGCCATGTGGCTGGTGCGGCGCGCGCTGCGCGGGGAGGCGCCGCCCGCCGCGCTGCTGCCCGACATGCTGCCGCCCAGCAAGAGGCCGCGCGCCCTGCAGGTGGGTCTGGCGGCGATTCACCGGTCCTGCTTCTGTTCTTCGCAAATTCGGGGAGCGGGCTGCTCCCAAAAATAACAGAGAATGATCACGAATTAATACGGCGGGAATCGAAACGTGGACGACAGACCAGCGTGGTAACCGTGGTAACCGAACGAGAGGCAAGTCTCGCTTCGCTTGCTCGTCTCACCCTGAGAGCGAAACGCCTTAGTATGTTACTTTAACTTTTTTTTTTTTTTTCTTTTCTTTTTTGGCCTTTCGCGGTCAGCGTTGAAGCCAATGACAAGATAAATTAACTTCATTTAAAAACAGGGAAACCTTTTCGTATGTTAAGGAATTTTGGAAACGGATTTAGGAAAAAAACGGATCGGGAGAGGAATTTCATGTTAGGAAATTTGTAGAACAGACAATAAATAATAATAATAATAATAATATTATATTAATGATATAAGAACTGTCTAAATTTTTATATTGTTTTCTACAATAAAGTTACATAAATGCTTATAAATATGTGAATCATTACATGATAACAGTACCGAAATGGACGTAGGAAGAGGTATACCTGATTGGATAAGGTTTTGGAAGAGAAAGGAATAATCATATTTAGGGCAGTTTGAAAATATGTGGTCCAAATCTCCAACTTGGCCACATTCGCATAAATCACTATTAACGATGTTCAATTTCGCAAGGTGTGCAGGAGTACAAACATGACCCAACCGCATACGAATCAAAACAGATGTAGTCAATCTATTAAATTTAAGTGATGAAAACCATGGTTTTACAGGAATAGAAGGTTGAATGTAAGCATAAGATTTACCTTTTAATTTACTGCTTTCAGACCACATCACACCCCAATCATGTCTAAGGAAATGTATAGGAAGGGTTGCCAAATCGTGATTATAATTTTTATAGTACGCCGTGTCCCCGTCAACAGCAGCATCATTTGCGAGCTGATCAGCACGATCATTTCCATGAATACCAGAATGACTCGGTATCCAGGAGAAAACTACAGACAAGCCTTTCGAAGAGCAAGCTAACAACAAATTTCTAATTTCGAGTATAATTGGACAAAGCATTCGCGTTTTAAAAGGAAATCTAGACAGTGCCTGAAGAGCACTCATAGAGTCGGAAAATATTACAGTATTTCTTAGCTTAGCTAAGAGAACGTACTCGACTGACTTGTATAAACCGAAACACTCTCCAGTAAAAACAGAAGTTTCTGGAGGCAATTTAATTTTTTGAACAATGTTATATTGTTGATGATACACACCAACGCCAACAACACTGTCGCTGCCATGCTTAGAGGCATCACTAAAAATGCAGTGCCACGATTGGAAGTCCCTGTCTCTAATGAAATTGAAAGTATGGGAGTTTTCAATAGAATTCTTATTGATACCTAAAGACAAACGGATGTCCAGAGATAAAACTAAAGCCTCGTATTTAGTAGAGAAAAGAGGCAAACAAAGGGAGTTATGAATTGGAGTTTGCAAAGACAAACACTTACGAAAACTAATAACCAGACAAGGAAGAGACTTATGAGTCCAATAAGGAGATGTTGATGCGTCAGTTGAGAGGCGTCGAAGTCGTAACAAAAGAGGATGTTTTGTAAATTGCACGCAACGGAGCAGATATTTATCGGATAAGTATTGACGTCTCAATTGAAGAGGAGGTTCCACACACTCGACTTGCAACGCATTGATAGGACTCGACTTCATTGCTCCCAGAATAATTCTTAAAGCTTTAGATTGCATTCTATCAATTTTTTTAAATGCCGATGAGTAACATGGGTCAAGAATAAAAGATGCATAATCAAAAAGACTCCTAATAAGTGAATTATATAATAATTTCAAACAAAAAGAATGTGCTCCCCACCAAACACCCGTTAAACATTTGATAATATTCAGGTTTTTCTCACATTTAGCTACGATGTAATCTGAGTGTGGAATACCAGTAAGCTTGGAATCTAAAATAACCCCCAAAAATTTAGTTTGAGGTACAAAGGAAAGAGGAATATTATTATAAACCACATTAGGTATTGGTGGATTACGTTTTCTAGAAAATAAGACAACAGTGCTTTTGGGAATGGAAAGTTCAAGGCCATTTGTATCTAGCCAACGTTTCAAATGTTGAAGAGACTGTGTCATTGAGTAAGATGCTTTTTGAACACAACCGTTTACATTGTACAGCAAAAGATCGTCAGCGTATTGAAGAATTTTAACAGAATTATTAAGTGAGGACTCTAAGTCATGTGTATATATATTATAAAGAATAGGGCTAAGAACAGAGCCTTGGGGAAGACCCTTCCATACATAACGAGTTAACTTAGCGCCATCCTGAAGATGTAAATTGATATATCTTTCAGACAACATACTTATGATAAAAGAAGATAACATTACGGGAATTCGTAAATCATATAATTTCTTTTGAAGCAGAGAAATTAAGACATTATCATATGCTGCACTGATATCCAAAAAAGCCGATAAAACAGATTCATTATTTGTAAAAGCCAAACGGATATCCATCACAAATATACTAATATTATCAAATGTGCTTTTACCTTTTCTAAATCCAAATTGGCTTGACGCCAACAAACCATTGCTTTCAACAAACCATTCCAAACGGTTTTTAACCAAGTGTTCAGCTAACTTTAAAAGTACGGATGAAAGAGCTATAGGACGAAAAGAGGAAGCATCCGACGCTAACTTGCCAGGTTTTAAGATTGGTATTATAGATTGATATTTCCATGATTTAGGGATGTTACCTGACAACATAACTGAGTTTACTATATCCAAAAAGTATTTAAGGGTCCTGTCATTACAATTTATGAAAAATGAATATGGGATGCCGTCTTCACCTGGAGATGAATCCTTAACGAGAGAAAGCACACCTTTCAATTCGTTTAAAGAAAAGGGAGAATTAAGGACAGGGTGGTCTCCGGAGGAAAAAGAAGGAACAGAGCAAGTCATTAAATTAGGAGCTGAAGCTGGAGCCAACTTATCCAAAAATTTATTTGCTAATTCAGATGGAAAATTGGGAGTTGATGAAGAATTAAATGCGCTTCGAAACCTTCTAATTTTTTCCCAGACAAAGACGGGACTAACGTCAGGAGATATAGATTCACAGAACTTCTTCCATCCATCAAATTTCTTTTTTTTTAAAAGCTTACGGGTGTTACGTGCGACTTGTGAATAAATTTCAAAATTTTCAGAAGTCATGCACTGACCATAAATTCTTTCAGCTTCCTTCCGTCTCTTGATAGCCTCAGTGCATTCACAATCCCACCAAGGAGGCAATGGAAGTCTATCTGGATAACCTTTTTTAATGGGAAACAATTCATCTGCAACTTCAAGAAGCATTTTAACAAGAGAATCTGAACAATGAGATTCATCATGAGTAGAAACAGATGGAAGTGAAGAAGTTCTATTTTCAACCCGCTGAGAAAATACAGTCCAGTCATGAGGAAATCTATACTTTATGCGGGGACTGGGTTTTTTGTGTAGGCATATGGCGAATAAAAGGAAATGAAATTATAATAGGAATGTGGTCACTACCACAGGAAGAAGTATGCAAATGCCATGAGAGCGAGGATGCTAAATCAGGCGTGGATACAGAGAGATCAGGTGCACTTAATCCTTCACCTGGACCTGTGAGACGCGTAGGAGCGCCATTATTCAAAATACAGAGATTTTGAGAGTCAAGTATATCTAACATTAAGTCTCCAAAACTATTACATGAAGAGCTTCCCCATGATTGATGATGACAGTTAAAATCGCCTAATGCTAAAAAAGGTTTTGGTAAAACTGAAAATAAATTGTTGACTTCATTAAATAAAGCTGTTGAAGGATGTGGAATGTAAATAGATACGAAACATATACCATTCACAATTATTGCTATAGCATCTATGCCATCACTTAAAGTGGGTAATTGTAAGAGTTGGTAAGATAAAGAATTTTTAATGATTATGGCGACACCGCCATACCCATCAGATCTGTCTTTTCTAAGGGTGGAATAACCAGTTACTTTGAAAGGATAGCCAGGTTTCAACCATGTTTCTGAAAGACAAAGCATAAAGGGATGAAGTGCATTTATTAAATAAAAAATGTCAGATTTTTTACTGGAGGCACTTCTACAGTTCCACTGTAGAATTACTGGGTCCATATTCAGGACGAATTAAAACAGAATTTTCAATAACATTGGCAACGTAGGACGGTTCAAATTTAGTCTGAATCATATTTGATTTAGTCAAGAAATTTACAATGGCTATAATAATGTCCGAGATAGATGTCTGTGAACTAGTATCAGAAGAGGCTTTAAGTGCTGAACCATTAGGAAAAGCTAAAGGTATGTTGTAATCCTTTGCAAATGAATCATGTGCAGCACGATCATACCCACCCGCTACTTTAGGAGGGGACCGTGGTTGAACAAACACTGTTTTTTTATAAGATTTATTAGTTGAATGAGCCTCTGCTGAAACTGTGTAGTTATTGTTCAGCCTACTATCATTAGATTTTTGTTGAGAGGAGCGAACTGCATCAGCAAAAGATCTTGAAATTGGAGGGTGATGTTTTGATGCTTCGGAATATGATATACTACTTTGGGCCATGGACACTTTAATTTCTTTTTGACGGGCAAATTCAGGACAGGATTTGCTATTTGCAAAATGGAATCCAGAACATAGGCAACAAGAAGCATAATCTACATGTACTGAGCAGGTTTCAGCAGTATGGTCTTCACCACATTTTAGGCAACGGGGTTTGGATCTACACTGCATTTTGGTATGACCATAACGGCAACAACGATAACATTGTATTGTAGGATATATATACAGTTCAACAGATAAAGCAGTATAGCACATATAAATGCGCTTTGGTAAAACTTGTCCATCAAAGGTGAAAATTACAGTTTCCGAGTTATTAAATATCGCAGTCCCACTTACAATAGTTTTCCGCTTGATACGTCTAACTTTAATAATTTTACCGCACCCAATAGGCACTGAAACATTT